AATGAGCATGGGAACAAGGCAAGCCCAGTTCTCCCTGCTGCAGCATCCCCACCGCACCTTAAGACCATGCGGAAACAAACACTGTCATTTAATCGTCCTTTATGGATTTCACTTCCATAAACTGGTCTCCTCGGTTCCTGAACTCATCTAACGGCACATCCGTGAGATCCTGGGGCAGCAAATCCCATTTTTATCCCGTGCTAGGGAAAAAAATGCTTCATTTTATGCCCTTCACTTGACAATTAGGGGATTTTAATCTCAAATCTATGTGTGGCTTTCCTGCATGAAGGGGCTGTTCAGTAAATTTATCACCATTCATACGAAACAAGCCCTTCTGAGCAGGTTATCATCTTGAAGGCCAGGCTGGACAGGGCTTGGAGCAACCTGGGATAGTGGAAGGTGTCCTGGGATAGTGGTTGGGACAGGATGGGCTTTAAGGTTCCTCCCAACCCAAACCATTCTCAGATTCTCTAAACTCACAGTTTAGACTTGATTTACAGCAGAAATAAGAACAAACTTTTTTACTGATCAGTTCTTTGTGTCCAACCCATCCTGGGCCCATTCTGCACAGCTTCCAGCAGGAAGGAGAATCCAAACCTCCCAAATCTCCGGTGATTTGGTAACAGCTCACCTGAAGCAGTGGCACAGCAACAGCCCCCACCCCTGGGCAGAACTCGCAGCCCTCAAGAACAAACATCAGCTGCTGCTGCCCCACAGGCATCACCTGCCTCCCTCACTCACAGCATCCCTTAAACCACCACTTCTCCCCAAAAAGAGTGTGGGACTCTGCTGTGGAAGAGGAGGGGACACAGGAGGCACTGAAGGAACAGAGCAGGTCACTGCTGAGCCGCTTTGTGAGAGACCCAGCGAGATTCCTCGGTGCTTTAAATTCCTTCATCAAAGCCCCTGGCAGATGCATACTTGAGATATCTGAGCTCCACCACTTCTCCAGCAGCAACCTAACACCAGAAAGCTTTCCTGCGATTTCAGGAATTAGGGTAGGATCTGGAGGAGCTATTTCCCAGGCTCATTACTGCGGGGAAGGCGAGCTTGGGATGGAGAATGTGATTAACACTTTGCACGGCCTCAACACGTGGAAGTGCACATTTCAGTCCTTTTGGGAAGGGCCCTCCCCTCCCACTGCCTCCCAGGCAGGGGAAAAAAATATCCTGCAGCCCTTCAGATGGAAGGAGAAATGTTACATAAATGAGAATCAGGCCTGGAGCTGATCACCTTCTAGCAAGCACATCCTTTGCAGCGAAGCCTGATCTGCTTCCCCTCCCCAAAAAAAGAACCAGCACGTCTTTTTATTACACAGAGTTGCAAAAAATACAAAAGGAAGTAAATGTCACCGGGGTGGTTCTGTTCTGAGCAGTCATTTGCTTATTACCCAGAAGCCACTGCCACACGCCTTTTTTTAAATCTTGTGTTTATAAATACCTAAAGTATTTAAATAAATGTTAATCTGCGGTAACTAAGGCCCTGATCTCACAAATATTTATCCTTGCACAGTGAGAATAAACACTCAAATACACAAATTTCTCTACTACAGATCCCATTTCAGTGAGAGAGCGTCGCTGAAAACGGCAACGCACCAGAAGACGGGGCTGGGAAAAAAAAAAAAACAAAACAAAACAGTTGCATTTTGCTCTCCTGGGTTTCCACGCAGTGGAAGTGACACTTTTGGTTCGTCCCCTGTGCTTTAGAAACCGTACAAAGGAGCAAGGGCAGCGCTGAGCCATCAGACAGGGCCCCTTGTGGCTGTTGGAAGCCTCTGAGGGAGCTCTTGGCAGGGTTTTTTGCCAGTGTCCCGCTCTGTCCTGGGACAGCAGGAACTTTATTCACAGCACATGCGAACACAATCCCCATTCAATCCCTTTCCTGGTTTGTGACTGACTCACGAGCCACGTATTGAATGACCAAGGGCTCAGTATTATCATCCAACCCCAAACCCTGCATTTAAAACTTACCGAACGTTTTGAGTCCAGCAAACCCACAGAGAGAAACCATCTTAAAAGGATTAAAGCCCAGCCTTGCACTTGCTGAAATCTTCCTTGTTACGATCTGCCCAAAGGAAAACCCGATTTTGCGAAAAACACTAATCCCACCAACTTTCTTCCTTCTTCTAGCACCTCAAAAACATACTTAAAAAAACCCCCCAAAACCCAGGAGAGGGATTTGTTGCTGTAACTTTATGCATATGAGGCAATCACTGAAGTTTTAACCCCTCCACCCACACGCCTCGATTATCTAACCTTGGTGAATGGAATCAACTTTTCCTAGACCAGCCCCGAAGAATGAGATATATTCAAAGCACGCTGAGAAACTGGGTTGGGACTGATCAGAAAGGTTGTATTCTCTGTCATGAATCACTGCCTGCAAATACCTCCTGAGCTGTAACTTGGAAAGGAAAAAAAAAAAAAATACACCATTTCTGTGTGGTGTGTCACGTTATTCATAAGGAAAGCAGTTTTACACTGGCATGAGCTACCAGGAAGGTTTTATTGCTTTAAATTGAAAAAAAAAAAATAAGTAATTTGGGGCATTTAGTTTTTGAGCTGGTTACCAAACAGATAAAAAAAAATAAAAAAATAACCACATCTCTTTTTAAAACCATTGAAAACACAGTTCAGGGAAAAGCTAACACTGAGTTCACCCCTGGAAGTTTATCCTCTTACAAATCACAACTACGAAGCACAGCAAGGCTTCACCTTGTCTCAGGTGGGCTCGCACAGGGAGCTGCTGGACCCGCTCCCCCAGGCTCTTAGCCAAGCAGAAATCGATGCTTTGGAAGGTAAATCCCAGGAAGTTTGATCCCCCCACCATCACCAACCCACGCAGGGACAACACTGACAACTGTAGTTTAAGCCAAGATCAGCGTTAGGCGGGTCTTGTCACTCAAACTCCACGTTTTCAAGCACATTCCTTAAAAACTAAACAAAAACACCCCAAAAAAGGGCACAGAACTTTGTGCCCCCCCCCCCTCCTGGTTGGATGAAGCCTCTCCTCGGCTGTGGATGTGAGGAGGGGTTTCAGAGCCTCTCCCTGGACACCCTGGCTGCGTTTTCCATGGGGAAGACGTTGGCCCTGGTTTGTTTTTAACTGAGTTTGGGATTAAACTCCGGGTCGGTTTCTACGGCAAAGCCCCAGCTCAAGGTCAGCAGGGGACAAACGGGGAACGGGAAGTGTCGCAAGGCAGGGTCTGGGATTCCCGCGGCGTTCCAGCACCAACTGATCCTGCAGATGTGGGGAACGGGTGGAAAACAGAACTGCACAACCATTCCCCTCCCTCACGTGACCCGGTGCACCAAGTTCAGCGCTCCCCACAGAGTGGGACTTCCCTGGTCTCGTGGGAGGTGTCCCTGCCCACGGCAGGGGGTGGAACGAGATGGGCTTTAAGGTCCCTTCCAACCCAAACCATCCCAGGATTCTACCAAAGCAACGTTTTGCATCAGTTTTACCTCAGGTGAGCATACTCCCCCCTCATCTTTCCCCTCCCCACCCCGAACTGGCTTCCAACATCTTTTAATTTCAACTTCTTCACCTCACAATTCCACAAGGACACACCAGGGTGAGGGTTACAGAGGGCTCCATCAATTATGACCCCGCCTGCGGCTGATGTACTTCACAGAAATTTATTTTTTTATTTATTTATTTTTTCATTATTAATATAATTTCGTGCCCACCAACAAACACCTGCAGTGCTGACAGATTTAAGACTCTCAGTGTTTCCTGGTGCTGAACTCCTGGCACTAAGACATCGCACAGCCCCCACCAGTGCTCTGACCCGTGCAGAGGTGCCCAGTTCTTGTTGCTGCCGCTAAAGAAAAGTAAAACCAGCAAGGGCCAAATGTGAAACTCTGACAGGGAAATAAAAAATGCTACAGCAGGAAGGTCCTAGAGGTCAAATAACAGCTAAGAGGGAGAAGCTGCAATCTTTACCTTTCTCCAGATTATCTGTATCCCAAAGTAACCCCAACACAAACTCAAATGCCGGCAAGTTACAACCCCAAGGACATTCCCTAATAACTTACTTCTTTCCAGAAATATGATCTGAGATCACCAAGAGGTTGGTGTGCTTGATCAAACTATCCAACCGTATCCCAAGCCTCTTTTCAGGAAAAAAAAACCCTCAGAAATTTCCCAAAGCATTCTCCAGCACCCACAGCGTGTCACCCCAAGCAGTTTTAGGGTTTATGTGCTGTGTGGATGGTTAATGGCCAAGGGGGGTGGACACGTCCTTACAGCATTCCCAGACAGACCCAGGGGTGCACCCAGGAGTGGGGCAGGAGCACAGGCAGGAGGAAGGAGAAGTTTCCTTCCCAGCAACACCCCCGAGTGCCACCACCAGACCTGGCACCAGCAAGGGCACGGCGGGTCCCACCCCGGCAGACTTTGCACAGTGACACACACACGTTTGCACCAGCACCGATGGCAAACCCGGGCAGCAAACGCCTGGGAAGGGAAGGACATCCCCCCTCTGCTCCCCCGGCAGAGCCACACTGCTCCCTCCCAGAGGGGACCCTGCGGCTCCCCCTTGCCCCCCGAGTTCCCGGGCACTCCCAGCTATCCCAGACCGCTGTACCGGCCCCAGGACAGCAGACACCGGCCAGGCCTGCGGAGAGCCCCGCGGGCGGCACTTCCCTCACCCAGCACCGGGCTCTGCCCACCGCCCGGGCAGGACCCCCCCCTCCACCCCAGCACCCCCTCCACCCCGGCCCGGGCACACACCCCGCACCGAGGCGTGGCCCCCGGGAGGGGCTGCCCAAGTGTCAGCGCGGGGATGGAGCCCCAGAGCGGGACAGACCCCCCAAAACCCCCCGCCCGCGACCACAGCTGGCCGGGCTCACTATGTGGCAGGAAACACCGCCCGCCTCACCCCCAGAGCTCACTATTTGGCAAGGGCCTAGCGGCCCACCCCAGCGCCACTGCCTCTCTCCCCCGGGCAAGAGGAAGCCCGAGGGGCTCGGCGAGGCGCCGCCCGCCCCTCTCGCACTCACCCTGTCCGCGGCTGTCCCCTCGGGGTCCCCGGGCTCGCTACCACCAGGGCGGGCCGGCCCGCCCGTCCGCCATTCCACGGCTCCCCCTCCCTGCCCTGACGGAGCCTCGCCCCGCCTCCCCCGGGCCGCCGGGCCGCCCCGCCATTGGCTGAGCGCTCGGCCTCGCTGCAGCGCTATTGGCCGGGAGAACCTGTCCATCAAAGCCGCCCTACGCCATTTGCGTACGCAACGGGCGCAGCGCGGGAACCGCACCCAGGGCGGCCGCGCAAAGAGAGTAAACAGGGAGGGGCGGACCATGAGGGGGAAGAGGCGGGGGAGCCCCGGGCGGCTTTGGGGACAATTTCCAGAGGAAAGGAGGGGGTCACAGCACCACGCGCGGCCGCGACATTTTAAAGATGTTTGTTTATGTCTGGACAGAGCTCGCTACCCTTACAGGTCTCTTTGGAGGAAAGGGATGTGTGTGTCTTCCGCACCCCCCTCGGAGGGCTCTCCGTTGGTGTCGCCTCTCGCCTCTATGGTCTCCCGCCCTGAGAGGAAAGTTCCACCTGGGGGAGCGGGGGTGTCACACCAGGGCGGGGCCACGGGGAGGGGGGGGGTCTGGGATTGGGGATTTGGGATATGGGGCGGGAGCTGCGGGGTCAGGAGAGTGCAGAGAGGGCTAGAGGACACGGTTGCGGGGGCAGGAGAAGGGGTGGAGGGATGGGGGGCTCTGGGGGGGTTGGGGAGAGGTCCCCGTCCCTTGCAAGTGATGCAAGGGACGGGGACAGTGCTGGGTGGGCAGTGGGAGGGGAGCCTGACAGCTGCAAACCCCGGGGGTCTGCTGCCCTTCGTCCACCTACTGCCCCCTAATGAGGGAGGGGGGCTCCCCAGCCCTGGGGGTCTCCAGCCCCCCATCCACCTCCAGCCCCCAAATGAGGATGGGGGGTCCCCAGCCTCTCACCGACCTCCAGCCCCCTAATGAGGGTGGAGGGATTCCCAGTCCCCGGGGGTCTCCAGACCCCCATCCACTGCCAGTCCCCAAATGAGGGTGGATTTTCTCCAGCCCCTCATTCATCTCCAGCCCCTAGAAGAGAGTGGGGGTTCCCAGCCACTTCCAGCCCCCAAATCAGGACGTGGAGGTCCCCATCCCAGGGGTCCCCAGAGCTGGGGGCCTTGGGGACAGCCCCCCCCGCCCTCCTGTGTGGCCGTGGAGGGGCAATGGCCACTGGAAGCATCCGGGTGACGCTGATTTTGGCCCCTGCCTGGATTTCCCCCCTGTGGCCTGGAATCAGGGATTAAAGGAGCCTGGATTAAGGACCAGGGCTGGTGGGGACATGGGGCCAGGTCCTACCGCCCTGCATCCCAATCCCCCAGGGCCGTTGCAGCAGGTGGGGGTCACACCAGGGCTCGAAAAAGCCCCGTTCCCTGCCTGGCCCTGAGCTGGGGTGACCTCGGCAGCACAGCATCGGGATCCTGGAATGGCTTGGCTTGGAAGGGATCCTAAAGCTCATCTTGTTCCACCCTCCCTACACCTTCCCCCAGCCCAGTTTGCTCCAAGCCCTGCCCCACCTGGCCTTGAGCACTGGCAGGGATGGGGTAGGAGCGTCCTGTGGCTCATCCTGGCCCTCAGCAGGGCTGGGGTGATTCCAATGCCCGGCTCCAGGAAGTGCAGGAGCAGAGGTTTGGTCAGGAATCCCACCACACAGCATTCCACGCCTCTGCTGGCACACCTGGCACACCAAATCCGTCCTCCCTGCCTGATCATCCACACAGAGAACCGGGTTTCTTTGTACCCACAGAGGGGGAAGAGGGAGCGGGATGAAGGGCACGGACATCTGTGTGTTTGTGTTCTCTGCTGTGTGCTCCTGCTCTAAACCAAGCCACAGGGAGTAAATCACTCTCTGGGAAGCAAAAAAAATCCACATCAGAGCGGTGATGGCACAGCCAGCATCCCAGGGGTCCCTGCCCATCCTGTCCGTGCTTATCCACCCTGTGTCACACCCTGTGCCCGCTCTGGGGGTCTCTCTGCCACTGCCACCCTCCCTTTGGATACTCCTGGGAGAGATGGACACACACACAGGTGCTGAAACTGCCATTTCTTGCCCGTTTTGCATCACCCCCTCCATGCACGGCCAGCTGGGTGTGATGCTCAGCACTTCCTGGTGCCCCCTGCTCCCCCATCCTGCCGCATCCAAGGAGGGTGCCCAGGGCACTCAGGATGCAGGGGGACACACGCACTTGCCCCAGCACCCCCAGTTCTCCCCTGTGGGTGCAAACCAGGGGCCGAGGTGCTGCTGGAGGCCGCTCGGCTCCGTGTTTTCCAAGCTGCCAGCGAGCCTGTTCCCTTGAAGAAGATCTGCCTCTATCTCAAGGTGTCACAGCCTCAAGGGACCCACCTAATCTGTATCTGCACTGCAACCTTTATCTCTCCTGCTCTGTTTATAGCTGCCGAATAAAACCTGCTAAACTGCAGGATCCAGTCCCCCCCCCCTCCCCACCGCGGTGCCCCCCGACACCTTTTTCCCTGATGCTCCCGCCTGGCAGGTGCTTCCCTGCGTTTTGCTGGAGGTAAATGATTCCCCAGGGGGTGGGGAAGGGCAGCCAGGCTGCTCCTGCCTCCCTCCCAGGTGGGCTCCAGCCGTGTCCAAGCCCCTGATAACCCCAGACAGACCATGGCACAAACTGGTGCCTCACCCCAACCCCGCTTCCCTCAGCCTGGGCTTGGATTCTGCCAAAACCGAGGTGGGATCCGGCAGGTTCAGCCTCATCCTTTCTCTGTGTGATCCGGGGATGGAGAGGGGACATTCTCTCCACGGGAGGGAGGAGATGGCAGCTTGTTGCAGTCCTTGGATGTCCCTTCCCTGGCCAACTGCCCCTGTCCCGGCAGGCACAGCTGCATCCCTGCGGGAAAGGAGCCAGGGCTGTCAGCAGCAGAGCTGAGAGGAGGCTTTGGAAACACACACTCAGGCTTCTCTTCCATCCCTGATTCCCATGAACCCGGGTGTGTGGGATGCACAGGGTGTGTGGGGCACCTGGCTGTGCCCAGCGATGTTTGGGGCCTGTGGGATGCACCAGGTACACGGGGTATCCGAGGTGCCCGGGGTGCAGGGCACACAAGGATGCAGTGGGACACGTGGGATGAACAGAGTTCCTGGGATACAGAGGATAAATGGGATAAATGGGATGCACGGGGTACCCACCACACTCAGGACACTTGGGGTGGCCAGGAGTGCATGGGGTGCAGCGGGGCCACAGGGATGGATGGAGTGCCCAGGGTGCCTGGGATGCACACAAGGCACATGGGATGCATGGGATACCTGGGATGGAATGGGGTGCCCAGGGTGCTTGGAATGCTCCAGACACACAGGATGCCCAGGATGAAATGGTGCACGCAGGATGGATGGGGTGCCCAGGGTGACTGGGATGCAAGGGCACGTGGAGTACCTGGGGTGCCCAGGACACGTGGGATGCCCAGGACACACGGGAAGCACGGCACACCCGGGATACAACAGGCACAGAGGATAAATGGGACGCATGGGATGGGTGGGCTTTGTGGGACACCCAAGGAACCCGTGACACGACAGGGCATGCAGGACACGCAGGATACGTGGAATAGCGGGGCTGCACGGGATGGCCGGGATGCCCAGGGTGTCTGGGACGCACAGGAGGTGCCAGGGGCGTGGGGGGTGCCCGGGGGCACCCGCTGCCCGCCGGGTCCCCGCGCCAGCGTGGCGCGGGCAGTGGCTGCGCCGCTGACATTTACTAATCAGCTCTCACCCAGCGCACACCCGCTCCCTTCTCTTGCTGTCTTGTCTCCATGGAGACTCCGCAACCTTTGCTCACTCGTTAATGGTATCTCAGCAAACGAAACTCCAACGCCACCCAGCCTTCCCCTCCCGGCCCCGGGAGAAATCCTCGCCTCTCACCTCCATCCCCATCCCCTCCTGCCGCTGGGGATAAAAGGGACGAGTCCTTGTTAGCGAAGGACCCAGCCACGGGGGCAAGTTCTGACGGCGGCGTGGGGAGGAGGGAGAGCCACCATCATCCTCCTCGGCACCAAAAAAACAAGGCCGGGGGATTTTATTGCTGTGGCAGCAAGGACAGGCTCCATCCATGCGGGATTCTGGCCAGCAGCCCTTTTCCTGGCTGATTTATTGAGCCACGAGGCTTGGCACGTGGTTGTGTTCCCCCTTCCTAAATCCACCCCCCCCCCCTTTCCCCCTGCCCAGCATCTGCAGGAGCCACCCAAAAATCATCCAGAGGGAGCAGTGGGTGCCGGGAACACGCTCCGTCCCCGGTGTCCTGCTCTCGCTGATTCTGTTTTCAAATTAACATGGGAAAGATGCCCATTACCTGCTTCCAGATAATGACTATGATTAGGCAGAGCTCTGCTGCCAGCCGAGATCTGAAGGATTTCTGTGCTCTCCAGCAGCGCTTTGCCGGTGCAAAAAACAAGAGCAATAAAGTGTAAATAAAAGACTAAAGGAAATCGTGGGTCCATCAGCGGATGGGGGGTGTGGAAGGGGCTCTAATGACGGGCTCTCTGAGGTGGGGTGGTGGCTTCAGCCCCGCTCCAGGCAAAGGAAGATGGGAGAGGGGCTGCCTCGGTGGCTGCACCCCACATTTGAACCTGGCTCGGCCTCTGCTTGCTGGGAACTGGGGGTTTGGGCAAGGAAAATTCAAGATGTGCCTGTGTAAGGCTGGTCCTGGGGGGCTCCTGGCCTTGCAGATGGAGATGAGGGCTTAAAGAGGAGGGAGAAAACAGCTGGATCTACTGAGATGACTACACTGGCTTCTGGAGCACTCAGGGTGGTCCCACACATCTGCCCCGTGGTGTGACAGCCTGGATCCACAGAGCAGGGCAGGGGTGGCACCTCTGTGCCAGGTGTTCCAGGGCATCTCTGTCCCCAGCCCACCAGAGACTGCCAGGCAGGGGATGCTCAGGATGGGCAGGGAGCAGCACAGGACCCACAGGGATAGGATGGGGCTCATGACCCCACTGTCAGAGGGGAACCCCAAAATTTGCTGTTCATAGGTACCTGGGTCAGCTGGACCCCCCTCATTGTCCTGTCCCTCTGCCAGCCTGAAATGGGGCTGTCTGGATGGGTGTCACTCGTGTCCTCACGT